AACCACGATGCCTGGCCCACAGTAGCCAGACGACACAGACGACCGAGATGACGACACAGACAACCGAGACGATGACAATGACCAGGAAGACGACAACTGAAGAGCCTGAAGAGCTGAAACACCGCGCAGTCTCCAGACGACCCTGAAGATCCTGAAGAGCTGACACTGCATCGTCTCCAGACGACTTGGGCGACCCTGAAGAGTTGTAACACTACATCGTCTCTGGACAACCCTGAAGAGCTATGACACCGTGTCGTCTCCATGCTGCTCACAGTAGATGACGCAACACTGCATCGTCTCTGTGCTGTACCGTGCTGCCCACAATAAACGGATGACACTGTCGTCTCCGTGCTGTAACACTACGCCGCTTGTCCCGGCTCTCACTCCTTCATTCAGGAAACCTGTTCGGCTGTCCCCCCGGGTTGGGACAGAAGTGTCCAGTACCTTAATCACCAGGCCTTTCAAACCCTCTCCTAATGTTTTTGCAGTCTGTCTGTGTTGCCACAGCTCTACTTTGTTCCTTCAGCTGGAAGCTTTTCCATATGTGGGAGGCATAGCAGTGTGTGACCGTTTGTGCCCCGCCTCTCTCTCCCTGGAGTACTTGAAGAACCCAGAGAAGGAGAGCTGATGCTAGGAACACGGACAGTCCTCACTCCCAGGCTTCAGGAGCACACCTGAGGCTCCAGGCTGGGAGAGAGACAGTGTATGTTCTGATCCTGGCTACAGCCAAAATGTACTATTTTGTGGCCAGCAGAGTGGCCTATGGAGGCCTTGACTTTGGGTGCCCAGCAGCACCCAGGCAGCCAGCAGCATACCCTGAGCTGGAATGAGGGTGTCTAGTGATTGTATAAACTAGGGGAGCTGGACGGGCATCATTCGGAGGTCTGAGTGCTGAGTCCTTGTCCCTCTGGGAAGTGCTGGTTTTGATGCTGCCCCTGGGAGCTGTTTCTGGGAATCTGGGTGTTACTGGATGCCTGGGTGTTGTTGGACTTTGGGGTACTGGGGGTGAGCTTCAGCTTTCCCCTCCTCAGCTTTGCTCAGTGGTTCTTGAACCAAACCTGTGATACTATTGGACATAAATCCATTTTTGAGGCCATTTCTTTCTGAAGGCTGGGGTTTGGGTATGGGTTCTTACTGAAGTCCAAGTCTTCTACTAGTTGCTTTTCTGTGAATATAGTTTGTCCCCTTTGTGGATTCTGGTGATTGCATGGGAAGGTCCTCTGAGCTTAAATCTTTTTTTTTTTTTTTTTTTTGGAGAGGTTTTCACTATAGGGCATGTGCACTCACCAGAAAGACAGAGAGAGACAGAGAGACAGAAAGCGAGAAATCACCACCTAGGGTGGATGGCCATGCCACAATCCCTTCTCCTCCATTCTCTTCTCATGATCTTGGGCACACACACACACATGCCCAGCATGAGTTTTAAGCCACCGGATCAGGGACTCAAACCGTGGTCGACTACATGGGAGTCCAGCGACATAGCTATTACGCTAACTGCTGGTCCCATGAGCTTGACATCATCTCATCTAGACATTCTTGAAGGTTCAGGCCTAATGATAGGCAACTCCTGGTGGGTTATAAAGAGGGTTGAAAGTGAGAGAAATACACAGAATACAGACCTCTTTCTCCTGCCCACTGCCATGGGCAGACTCGCCAGAGAGAGCCCCTGCAGCTTGGACCTCCAAATCAGAGCTGAATAAACTGCTATTCTTATAACTCACCCAGTTTCAAGTATTTCCTGCTATTAGCAATGAAACGTATGTCAGTAT